TGAAGGGGGCTGGCATCGGGAGGCCACTATGGCACGGGGCAAGCACTATGGGCAGTCTATCTGAAGTGTACCTGGCGTATAAGACGACCCCCCACTTGGAGGCATATTTTTCAGGGCCAAAAAATCGTCTTATATGCCGGCAAATACGGTATATTAAAAAAAGGAACCCTCATGCAATGCTGGTGGGAGTGTAGACTGGTGCAGCCATTGTGGAGAACAGTATGGAGTTTCCTCAAAAAACTAAAAATGGAACTTCCATTTGACCCAGTGATCCCACTTCTAGGACTATATCCCAAGAAACTAGAAACACCAATCAGAAAGTGTTGGGGTCCAGCCGCAGCAGGTCCAGGGGTTCCCATAGGTGGGGATGGAGTCGGCAATGAAGGAATGAATGGCACAGAGGCAGCATTCAGTTGATCAGCATGGTTGGGTTCTCTTGCCTGGTTCTAGCCAGGATCTCCAGCCAAGTTCTGTCCAGGTTCTCTCGCTAGGTTCTCCAGCCAGGTTCTGTAGCCATGTTCTCTCACTAGGTTCTCCAGCCAGGTTCTGTCGCCAGGTTCTGTCCAGGTTCTCCTGCCATGTTCTCTCGCTAGGTTCTGTCTCTAGGTTCTGTGTCTGTATATGTTTTGAGTGTTAAAAAATTCCTTAGAATTTCTGGCATAAAGGAATTTAATAAATAAATATTGGTAGGTGTTACAGAAATTGCTTTCCAAGTGGCTTTATTAAATCACCTCAAGCCACACAGTATAAGAGCATGTTTTGTCACTTCCTCCTCAACCCATGTTGATGGCAATCACGTAAACTTTTGATGTGGGCACTGTAAAATGAGGTCTCATTACTATGTGCATTTTTTGAATTGCTGATGGTATACTATTACCCAAGGACCTCATCTGGCAGTGAGCCTGTATTTGGAACTCGAGGTTTTGCTTTAACTGTGATGTCATGGTGACTTTTGCTCTACTCAGCCCTGTCTCTGTTAGGTGACTGCTTTGTTGTGCTGGTGTCCACTGTAAAGACTTCGCAGAGTCAATTATTGAACTCAAGGTGCTTGGTCCTGTCCTTTTGCCAAAAGCAGCTAGGAGCGGGGGTTGGAGGTGGACTTCATTTTGTAAGCATTGACACTTGGTGCCACATGCCTGAGGACAAGCGAACCGCTCGAAGATCACGGGTTTCTGTGGGAAGTCGACCCTCCTTCACCTTGTAGAATTGGGACTCCTCCCCTGAGATATGAGGGATGGGGTGGTTTTGGGGAAAATGTTCATTATTTTTCTCCCTTCATTTTAGGTCTGGATCAAGAACCAGAGATCGCAGGAGGTAGGTTTCCAGATCCAGTTAATCCCTAGCCAGTTTGGCTCAGTTGCTAGAGCATTGGCCTGTGGACTGAAGGGTCCTGGGTTCTATTTTGGTCAAGGGCATGTACCTCAGTTGCAGGCTGGATCCTGGATTCTACTAGGGGTGTGTGTGGGGGGCAACCAAATGATGTGTCTCTCACGTTGATGTTTCTTTGTCTCTCCCCCTCCCTTCCATTTCTCTAAAAATAAATGGAAAGATATCCTCAGGTGAGGATTAAAAACAAACAGATCCATTTAAGTGTCCTTAGTCACATGTTCTTTTCCACATGCATTTTTCTTCTTTCTTTTTTTTTTTTCACGGTCTTTTTTTTTTTTTAGTTTTATTCATTTCAAACTTCTCAAATCCTCAAATAATGAGAAGGAGCTGGTTCTGTGAGATCTCTTTTATAAGGGCACTAATCCCATTCATGAGGGCTGGACCTGTGTGACCTGCTTACCTCTCAAATGACCAACCTACTAGTATTAATACCTTTGGGTTTAGTGTTTCAATGTATGAATTTTGAGGAAGCACAGGTTTGTTTTATTTATTTATTTATTTATTTATTTATTGTTGTTACTAATCCTCACCTGGATTAACACAAGGATCTTTGTCCATTGATTTTTAGAGAGAAGGGAAGGGGAGAGAGACAGAAACAGAGATGTGAGAGACACATCAATTGGTTGCCTCCTGCACATGCCTGACCAGGGCTTGTGCCTGCAACTGAGGTACATGCCCTTTGTTGTAAATGTTTCCCTCCACGTCCCACGTGGTTCAGGGTTCAGGATCTGGAAGAGGAGCCGCACACAAATGAAAGAGAAAAGACGAGATAATTTGGAAATATTGGGGAGCCAGGCGGGAAAGTCCAACTCAAGGGGAAGGACTTCCACTGGTGCTCAGGCCTCACCAACATTTTGTTGTTTTGGAATACACCCATAGACCTTAGGCAGGCAATTTCCTGTAACAGGCAGACCAGCCCATCAGCAAGGATTTACATAATAATAAATGGGGAAGTTGCTTCAGCTACCATTGTCTGGACTAACAATGGATGCACATCCCTGACCTTTGCAAGGGCTTCAAGGATCACCAGCCTTCCGAGTTCCTTGTCCACACCTCTCTGCTAGTGAAGACAATAGACGGTTTCCCACACCCTTGACCAGAATTGAACTCAGGACCTGCTGGGGTCCGACCCCAGCGAGTCCAGGGGTCCCCAAAGGTGTGGACGGAGTCGGCGAAGAAGGAATGACACGGAGACAGCGTTCAGTTGATCAGCAGCCTTGCCAGGATCTCTAGCCACTATCTCCAGCCAAGTTCTTTGTCCATGTTCTCTTGCTAGGTTCTCCAGCCAGGTTCGGTTTAGGTTCTCCAGCCAGGTTCGGTCGCCAGGTTCTGTAGCCGGGTTCTTCAGCCAGGTTCTGTCTAGGTTCTCCAGCCAGGCTCCGTAGCCAGGTTCTCTCCAGCGAAGTTCTTCTGTCTCTAGGTTCTGTGTAGGTTCTGTCTAAGTTCTGTCTGTAGGTTCTGAGACTTTCTTCTTTATTTTAGAGAGGAAGGTGGGAAGGGTCTGGTCATAATTCTTTCTGACCAGAGATTAACTGATGGCACTGTTTTGAACCCAAGCTGTAAAGTTTGTGGGAGGAAAGGAGAGAGAGCAGAAAAGCATCAAGCTGAATGTGCTGAGAGAGGAGGGTCGTTGGGGTGGGGCCACCACAGCCTTCAGAGCCTCTGGTCTACTGCAGGTCACGTTCCCGGGACCGGCGTCGGAGGCGGTCAAGATCTACTTCCAGAGAACGACGAAAGCCTTCCCGGTCCCGGTCCCGAGACAGACACCGGCGTCACCGCAGTCGTTCCCGGAGTCACAGCCGGGGCCACCGCCGCACTTCCAGGGACCGGAGTGCGAAATACAAGTAACTACTCTGACTTCTTCAGTAGCTGCAACCAGGAGTGAGCCCTTTCTCTTTGTGTTCCCAGGGTCTGTGGGGTCCGTCAGCCATGCCTGTTGCTCAGGAGCCTGGCTGGGCATCTGTGGGACTGAGTATTGGGGCCTTGAGGAGTGGTGAATGGAACCCAAAGTCCTGGGAGCCCTCAGCTGAGAGCAGCACATGGATTCAGGGATGGGACAACTGAGAGGCTGTGGGGGTGGTCACACATGAGCATGGCCCCACCAGGTGCCTGACACACGCAGGGGCTGCCAACTCACCATCACTGAGGCTTGTGCCCTGCTTATCTCTGTTGTGGTTTTTCTAAGGGAAAACACACCACTGGTAACCACTGTTACAACTTCGGTATATGCTTGGGTTTAGTCTTTTTTTTTCATTGTGTTTTTACATAATGGGTCATATTCCGCGTGTGGACCTTTTGTTGCATTTTCCTTTGCTCTGTTTATATTACAGCTGCTACTAGAAATCTTTTCAAATGTCACTTTTTCAGTGGCTGTGGGTTGGGCATGAGATGGCAGGCCTGACTGCTCTCTGGCGTGCTAGGGAGCCTTCCTTGGTGGGGTGGGTCTTGGCCTTCCTTGACCTGGTGTTGAGGGGCATCTGAGGAGACGGTCAGAAGGGAGACAACAGCCTCTGCTGAGCCTCTGGTTCCCATTTCCCAGGTTCTCCAGGGAGCGGGCGTCGAGGGAGGAGTCCTGGGAGCGAGGTCGGAGCGAGCGTGGGGCCACCGACTGGAGGCTTGAAAGCTCCAACGGGAAGACATCGGAGGAGAAGGAGGCTGGAGAGATCTGAACCTATACCTGGGCGCTGTAAATAGCCTGATAAATGTTGGACACAGCCTGAAGTTACCCTTTATATTTGCTGAATACAACTCATCTTTTGTAGTTTAAAATTTCTATTGTTTTGGAGCTAGCTGTGAGTTTCTAGAGTTGTACAGAATTACTCCTGTGTTCTGCGGTTATGTTGAGTAGGAATAAATAAATCTGACTGACTGCCTCCTGAATGCTGCAATGGGGTCTCTGCTGTCCCTGTATGTTCTAGACCAGGGGTGGGCAAACTTTTTGACTCGAGGGCCACAATGGGTTCTTAAACTGGACCGGAGGGCCGGAACAAAAGCATGGATGGAGTGTTTGTGTGAACTAATACAAATTCAAAGTAAACATTACATAAAAGGGTATGGTCTTTTTTTTTTTTTTTTTTTTGAACTAATATAAATTCAAAGTAAACATCATTACATAAAAGGGTATGTTTTTTTTTGTTTGTTTTTTTTTTTTTTTTTAGTTTTATTCATTTCAAACGGGCCGGATCTGGCCCGCGGGCCATAGTTTGCCCATGGCTGTTAGACCCTTCACCTCGGCCTTCACATATGGTGACAGTGGGCACTGTCTCAGTGAGCTTTGCTCATCTTCAGAAATTATAACTTACTGTTGGGACTCCCCTTTGATTTTGGTCATCTGACACCTTACCTCCCCTTGCCCTAATGACTGGATCCAGATATGCCAGGCTCCACCCCTCAGTGCAGACCACAGGCTCCACTAGGGACTAGGTCTGTCTCTCTCCATCTGCCCACATTTCTTTTTTTTAAATATATTTTTATTGATTTCAGAGAAGAAGGGAGAGGGAGAGAAAGAGAGAGATACATCAGTGATGAGAGAGAATCATTGATCGGCTGCCTTCTGCATGCCCTCTTGGGTTGGGAAGTGCACACAAGTGGTGGAAAGCTTTGAGTGGGTTAAGGGTGGTTCTGGGAGGGGCGAGTCAGGGAATAAGAGCTGGAGTAATGGGTTCCTGTCTCAGTTGTATAGCCTGGCCTGTGACAGGCAGGGGCTGGACTGAAGCTGGCAGAAGACATCCCAGCTCGGGCAGCTTGGGTCGGTAGCGGGTACACAGGCAGGAGATTGGGCAGGGCTGTAGAAGTACCACCCACCTCCTTCATCCTCTGGAGGAGTAGGGTTTCTTTTTTTTTTTTTTAATGTTTTTATTGATTTCAGAGAGGAAGGGAGAGGGAGAGTTAGAAACATCAGTGACGAGAGACATTCATTGATCGGCCCCAGCTGCACGCCCCTTATTGGGGATCAAGCCTGAAACCCGGGCATGTGCCCTTGACTGGAATCAAACCCAGGACCCTTCAGTCTGCAGGCTGACACTCTATCCACTGAGCCAAACCAGCTAGGGCTCTTTTTTTTTTTTTTTAATCCTCACTCGAGAATATTTTTTCCCATTGATTTCTAGAGAGAGTGGAAGGGATGTGGGGGAGAGAGAGAGGGAGAAACATCTATGTGAGACACATTGATTGGGTGCCTCTCACAGGCACCCCAACTAGAGGCAGGGGTTGGACCTGTAACGCTTGAGCAGAAATCGAACCCTTGACCCTCCAGTGTGCTGGCTGACACTAGCTACTGAGCCACACTGGCCAGGGCGGTTTCTTTTTATTACAGTAAAATATATGTAAATTTTACTGTTTTAACATTTGTAATTACATCTGAATGGCATTAAGTGTAGTCATGTGTTGTGCATGGAGGGGGGGGGTGGTTTTGAAAAGGCAGATGTCCCTGGATTTAGGAGTAGACCTGGGGTCCCAGCCAGAAGGCAGGTGGGGCTGAGGTCAAGACAGCCGCTAGAAAGGCCTGGAGGGCTACAGCTCCTCCCTGCACACCTGGCCTCTCCAGTTAATCCAGGACCAGGTCATCTGAGCCCTTGTGCTGGGAGGATGGGATCCAGACTGTGCCCAGCTCTTACAACCCTAGTGCAGAAGGTACCCACCCACCTGCCCCTGGCGCACCCCAAGCCCTTGAGTCTCATGGGTTCTAAGCACTCGCCAAGCTCTTGGGCGCCAGGAGAGCAGTGAACAATGGCCTTGCCCTCTGGGTGGGCACAGAGGAGGTTAGACTGATGGGGGCAGTGCACAACATGGCACAGGCTGCTCTGAGGGTGCTTCAACCCCTAATGCTCACCTCGGGTCTCAGCAAAGAGGAGTTTCCAGGTGGAAGCTCCGGGAGAATGGCAGAGAGGGTGCCAAGAGGAGGCCAGCCATGTACCTTGAGGGGGTTTGGCCTGGAGGGGAACCACTCCACCTTGAGTCCCCTCTAAAAATAAAGTGTGGGAACTACTTGTTTGCAGAGAAGAAGCAGGGATGCCGGTCAGGGCCATTGCAGTCCCTGAGGAGAAGTGGGTAGGCAAAGCCAACAGATACGGATCCTCCAGGGTCGTGGTAGGTTCCAGGCCTTTTAGGTTTACCCTATTACTGTACTCTTAGGGACTCCCCTGCATACACCTTGTTTCTGGTCAGTGGAGAAAGACATGGTCATAAGCACCTACTGTGGGTTGTGGGGTCTCCTAACCCTGCATAGAGGCCCCAGGCTGTCCTGGGGAAGGGACCCTGCAGCTAGGGTAAGCGGGGCTTCTGGGGCTGCCCTCCCTCCTCACACTGGGGATCTCTGGCTGGGCTCAGGCTGCAATCTGAGGAAGGAAGGGCTGGAGAAACTGCTGGCCCTGAAGCCTGCATGGGAGCTCATAGGCTCCAGAGCAGAGCCTGACCTTGGGGTGCACCCTCCCTGGCTTTCACCAGCAGGTCCTGGACCCTCACTGCATCATGTGGAAATGTGGGTATCCTCTCTCGGGTAGCAGGCTGCTCAGTCGCTGGTGCACTTGCCTGGGTCTGGGAGCTGGGGGAGCTCCCTAGAGGAGGTGGGGCCCTGCCGTAGTTCAGACAAGTGGGGAAGGGATATGCAGGGGAAGTGCCTCGCCTGGGAGGAGGATGGTGGCCACAGTGGGGTTTGGGATCTGTGGAGATGGAATGGCTCTGACTTGATAGTGTCTGAATTATTAGAGGACTTGTTAAAACAGGCTGCTCTTCCCTTTCCTTCCCTGCATCTGCCAGCTTCCCTCCTGCCTTTGTCCCTTGCCCATGTCTCCCTTCCTGCCTGACTTTCACACTGAGCACCGGGGCTGCCCTCCCAAGGAGGTTGTGCCATCCTCACAGTCCAGGAGGGGAGCAGTGGTAAGGGGATTTCTCCCACCATGACCGGGGCCACCTTTTATTTTTGAGATATAATCAATAAATGTATTAGTTTCAGGTGTACAGCATAATGACTTGACACTTGTAAGGTGCTAAATGATCACCACAATAAGCCTAGTTAACATCCATCACCACACAGTCACAAAATTTTTTTCTTGTGCCCAGAACTTTTAAACTCTTGTCAGCAACTTTAAAATGTAGAATACAGTATTGTATACTATATATATAATAATACTGTGTAACACAACACAGTATTATATTTTCCTGGGCCTCCTGAGCCCTCAAGTCTCTCCTTTGGGAAACTCCTCCCACATCCCCCAAAGGTCCAGCATGTCTGGGACTTAAGACCAATCTGCCCCCTCCCCCCTAGTTGGGCCCAGCCTCTCCCTACTGAAGAGAGCACGATGTAGTTACCACTTTCTTTGTTAATCGTTCCCTCTTACATCTCAGTCTTCTCCCTAGGCCACTTTCTTTCTGCCTCAAGTGCATTCTGTAGTAGAGTCGGGACTGGGTGAGGCAAGTAAGGCACCAGGAACACAAAATTGAAAGGTGTGCAGGGGCTGCAGTCTAAATTTATTCTGACCTTTAAAAAAATGTTATAAAAAATATTTTTATTGATTTCAAAGAGGAAGGGAGAGGGGGAGAGAGAGAGAAACATCAATGATGAGAGAGAATCATTGATTGGCTACCTCCTCTTGCCCCACACAGGGGACCCAGCCCGCAACCTGGGCATGTGCCCTGACCGGGAATCAAACCATGACCACCTGCTTCATAGGTTGACGCTAAACCACACTGGCTGGGCTATTCTGACCTATTTTTTTTAATAATAAAATTATTTTATTTATATTTTTGCTGTAGATGTAAAAAACACTATAAATGTATTTTTTCATTTGTAAACTCAGTTAACAGTTACCATATGAGCCAGCAGTTCCATTCCGAGGCATACACCCAAGAGAATGAAAATGTCCACACAAAACCTTGTTATATGTTTTTGTTGCAGCATTATTCATAATAGTGAAAAGGTGAAAGCAACCCAAGTGTCCATCAACTAATGAATGGATAAACAAAAGGTGGTCTATCCATACAATGGAATAATACTCAGCCATGGAAAGGAATGTGCTGATAGGTTACAACATGGATGAGCCTCAGAAACTTTATGCTCAGTGAAAGAATCTATACACAAAAGATCACATACTATATGAGTCCATTCATATAAAATAATCTGACCTATTTTTTTAAAATATATTTTATTGATTTTTTACAGAGAGGAAGGGAGAGAGATAGAGAGTTAGAAACATCGATGAGAGAGAAACATCAATCAGCTGCCTCTTGCACACTCCCACTGGGAATGTGCCCGCAACCAAGGTACATGCCCTTGACCAGAATCAAACCTGGGACCTTTCAGTCTGCAGGCCGACAC